GCTCTGCATTTCCTGTGTTTCCTCAGGAGACCGGCTCCGACAAAACGAGCCTGCTGTCAGGCGGCTTTACAAGAACATGGGGCGCTGACAGAGAGTCTGCAAATTGTGTGATTAATGCTTTTTGTTCAGACTGGCTTATGCAATGATTGGCATGTGTGACAGGGGCCGCATGAGATGATGTCGGAGGTTACGTAAAGCAGCTGTGCCTCGAAAGCGGCACACAGAGGGAGAACATGCACACGCATGAACCCCCTGCACATAGACATCATCTCACACACACACACACACACACACACACACACACACACACTCATTCTCCACTCAGCGACTCGGTGGATGTGTTTGGAAATGCACAACGACTACTCCTCTGGCGCCTCTGGAGTCCCTCGCTGACATGGGAATTCCTCTCTGAATACGACTAATCACCGTCAGGGCTCCATGTTGATTAAAACAAAGGCCTACTCAGTTGCAGATGGCACAAGTCATCAGATTGTGTTTACTCTAAAGTTGTTAGAATTGCTCCCCATCAGCAATGATTGATGGTAATAATCGGCGAAGACGCCGTTATCTCCCCTCCACCCGTCTCCCCCTCAGTTGTTAAGTGTCTGTCGAAATTTGTTCCCTTCACTCATGGACCGTGTCCAATTAAAGTTTGAGTGGGGCGCAGACGAGCGGGGTTGGTGAAAGAAGCGGTTTTATCTGTCCTTGAGGAAGTCATTTCCTGCGCGCTCATCTCGTCTCCGACCCTCCGCAGATCTGTAAATTAGCCTGCCAACTGAACCCTGCTTCAGCTTTCGCCTGATTAGGAGAGCGTGCCTGCATGGTGTGTGTGTGTGTGTGTGTTTGTGAGAGCTTTATGGATCCACAGGTAAACAGAGAGACCACCTGGTCTGCAGAGCACCAACACATTGGGGTAGGCAGGCTCACAGACACACAACAGATGGAGCTCTGTTTTCTCTGGGAAGAGGAGTTTTATAGAGTGGGCATCTGCCTCCTTGTCCGCATCTGTTCGAGAGCCTTTTGGCTCTTTCTGGCTCGTACTCTAAAGGCACTCTTTAAATACTTATGGACACACAGATTTAGTTAGCTAGTTTAGGTGTTGGGATCCTCTCAGAGCTTAGAGGACTGGTGTCAGCAGACAGAAAGCCTTTCTGTTTGGTCATCTGTTCTGGAGAGACAAGTACTGTGACTTGGAAAAGTATTTCACACTTTGTCACGTTACAACATCAAACTTTAATTTATTTTATTGAAGTGGTATGTGATAGACGTACGAAAGATATTAATAGAAACATGGGTTTCAGATGTTTTACAAATAAAAATGAAACGTGCAGTAGTGCTGTAGACTGCTGAGTCAAGCTTCTTTTTGCGTATCTTTCTCCCAGCTTTGCACATCTTGAGATGGTGAATCTTTTGTTCTTTGAAAATTTCTCAAACTCAATCATATTCAACAAAGTATTTGAGAACATTTTGGACTATATTTATCTCTGGGCCATAAATGGGACATTCCTGCATGAGTGTGCTTTGATTGAAGCCTTTCAGTCTAACTCTGTCTGTATGTTTACAGCCGTTGTCCTGCTAGAAAGTGAATCTCTTTATTAGTCCTAATAAAGCTGAACAGTTCTTTTCTAAGATTGTCATTTGTTTGGCTTCATCCATTTCTTTTCAAATCTGAATAGTTTCCCTGTTCTTACTAACTAAAAACATCCCCATATCATGATTCTGCCATTACCATGTATCTCTTTGAGGATGATATGTTCAGGGTGATGTGCAGCTTTAGTTTCCTGTTGTAGTTTTTCTTTCAACAAAGCCCTTCATTCTGCTTCTCTTCCATCAAAACCAGATTTTTAACAAGTTCTCCCATCTGATCTGTGAATCTCTGCAGCTCCTCCAGAGTAACAGTGGGACTTTTAGCTGCTTCCCTGATTAATGCTCTCCTTACTCAGTCTGTTTAGCTGGGTGGCAGTGACGGATAGGCAATTTCTAAAGGCAACTGATTGCACTGGATTTTATATAGGGGTATCAGAGTAAAGGGGACTGAACACAAATGTACGTCACAGCTGTCAGATTTTCATTCGCAAATCATTTCAAATCATTTTCCATACACTTTACAATTACTTTTTACTTGTGTTGTTTTATTACATAAAACCAATAAATCGTTAAGTGATGTTTTATGGTTTTAATAAAGTTAAAGGATATTAATTACTTTTTCAAGAAAGCTTTATCTGTAATGTAATCAATTGGTCTTTAAAATAAGAAAGATCTTTACAGATGCAACTTCATGCATACTTTAGTAATTTTTTTTATTTAAGGAACTTTGCTTTTTTTATTATTGATGACTGGTTCTTTGTTAAACTGCAGTGATTTCTTCCCATGAAACAACACCTGGCTTCCAAACATTAACCTTGCTACACCTTAGCCTTGTTGCCTGGCAACCATCAGCTCTTACCTCATCATTACATCCTTATTATAGACTGGTATGGTAGGTGGTCGAGGCATTTGTGTCTCCCAGTGAGTCTGTTGGTGAATATGTGATTTAAAAGTTTCGCTGTGAGACGGGAAATGTTGGACAGACAGTGACACAGACGGTGCAGGAAGCTGCACCAGCCGCTCCTCGCTCTGTGGTGGAGCCCTGAGCTGTTTTTCTGTTTATCTTTCTGGGACTGCGATTTGAAATCAGCTGAGACTCATTATAAACTAAAAAGGCAGACACGCACTGTTCCATGAAATGCTTTAATTTCAAAGCAAAAACAAACAAAAAAATAAATAAAAAATAAAAGAAGAAAGAAGAACCCCTTCAGAAGCTCTTCTCTCTGAACGTCTTTCTCAGCGTCCTTCCCTGCACTGTGGAAGGGCTGCTGGCAGATTCATGTTGTACATCCAAAGTGCGGTTTGGCTTGGATAGAAAGGAGCCACGAGGCGGCATTTCCAACTCAAACACCCAATCAGAAATGAGGCCTGTCCTGTTAGCACAGCCTGTTAGTAGGGGCACGGGAACAGAGCCGTGCTGCCAGTCGGGCTTCAGCCGTGCTGTTCTGCAGAGACGTGACCCTTTCAGCCAGATGGAATCGGCTTTAGAACATCGAACACACAAGTTTGTCTGAGCCCCAAAACACGGCTCATTCGTTCGCTCTGATTTGTCCAACTAATATTAACTGTTGCCCCGCTTCTGCCAACTCTCTGTGTTTTGTTTTTTTTCCCCTCCCCTGATAGATGCAAGGGCCCTGCCAGGCGGGAGACCGACACCATGGACACATTTGTGGATTCGGCCTGGTATTATTTCAGATACACAGACCCTCACAACAGGGACAGGTTCGTGCCATTTCCTCACCCCTATCAAATGAACGTCCACGTGGTCACCATGCATCTTTCTGTTTTGAATCTGAATGCATTCTCTGTTTTCTCTGCATGCACACACAAGCTTGACTCAAACAAAATATTTTTTTATTGTTCAGGGTTCCTCAGTTTGTAATGTTTAGATTTGAAGTATTTTCCAAATTGGGTACAGAAAAAGAAAAGCCCTCCACCAACCGGTTATTTGCAATGATCCAGTCATTCATTGATAAATCATCAATTTATCATCCAGCCATTTGTTTGTTAATTCATCCACCCATCTATTAGTGGTTGCATGAGTTCATAGAATCTGATCACACTGGAAATGTCTGCAATAAATTCAGTGAACTTTTATTTTGATACAGTGAATTCTGGACTAAAAACAGAGCGATAACTTTGAAACTTAAATTGGCAGAAGGATGAAATTCTGACATGAAACATATTGAAACACTTTATTGTATTGAATTTGATCAATTTCATCATGTAAATTAATATGCATTGTAAACTGTTTTTCAGGTTTTTTTGTTTTGTTTACCTTAAATGTTCACACACTGCTTTTACTTTTACTCACAAACTCGAGTAAAAGTTTCGCTTTCTTCCGCCAGAGATTACCTGCTGGGATGGTAGCAAAACCAGGAGCTTAACAAAAGAGATTAATTTCCCATTGCCCTGACCTCGCAGTAAAGCTGCTTTGCAACAGAACGGACTGCTCTCTCTGTTGCTTTAGAGAGCTGGGCAGATTATGGCACAACAGAAAAAGCAATTACACTATTTGTGCATTTCAGTCAGCCCCGCTGAGCCTTTCACGCAGAGAGGAAGGAAGATGAAAAGAAATAAGAGATGTTCAAAGTTTGTGGAAACAGATTAAATTTTTTGGGGTTATGTGGCGCCCTGTGTTTGGCTGAGTATTGCTGTTCGGTTTCCTGCAAGCAAGCTGAATAATTTCACATTTTGGGAATTTCTTTTTTTTTTTTTTCATCTGGAGAGACCCTACCGGCCACAGAGGGAAGGTGAGAGTCAGAGAGGTGTGAAGGAGACAAATGACTGGTGTTAAAAAAAGACACAATAGGATAGCAACCTGCCTAAAAGAGCGTCATTACGGCTGATTATCACTAGAGCCAGGCTAACCGCATGCAGCAGACCTGTCAGGATCCAACGACACCGTTTGGCTCAAGTGTTAACATGTTTGCTTCTTTTTCTCTGTGAGAGTGAAACCAGTTAAGCTGAGCGATGCATCAGGCTGATCCTTGAATTGTCTGTGCGTCAGAATCAGCCTGCCCTCTGCAGGACGAGCCTGGGAATGTCTGTGGCCACGCTCACATGCAAATGCATTGCAATAAATTTATGGACATATTATTATGACTAGTTTCCTACCCCTCCAGTGAATAATTCAGCAGCACTATTCATAAAATAAATGTTTTAGTTAAATCTAAGCATCAAATTCACTCCCCTTTCATTTTTAATGATTCTGCTGCTTGTCGAACTATTAAATTATATAAATGTCCTCCATTTAAGTTCATTGGAGATTGCGACCATTCATTTATGCAGAGCTTTCTGATTGTTTCAATCATATTTTTGTCCAGGTTTAAGTCCAACCTTTGACTGGGCCATTATCACACCTGGAATCCTTTCTCTTTTTTTGCCATCCTGTTATAGATTAGCTGCTCTCCTCAGGGCCGTGTCATTGTCGAATGACCTGACTTGAGCTTCAGCTGTTGGAAAGGTGGCCTTACATTTTACTTCTTTTAAATACTTTGGTATATACAGAAGAGTTCATGGTCAACATGTTCACTGACAGCTGCCTACGTCCTGTCAAGGCTACACACGTCCAAGTCATCAGCTCTTCACAGTTGAGACATTTTCCTGTGTGTTTTTGATAAATAAAGATTTCTAATGAGGTCTAATCAATCTGAGGTGTTTCTGCTGGGGTTTTGCTTATAACTTTGCACATTGTGCAGTCTGATCCTGGTGTTATCTTACTTGAACATCTACCTCTGGAAAGATTTACAGTTGTCATGAATTTCCGTGTGTATGTTATTTCTAACTTTTCGCCGATTGATGGGTAGCAACAGTTGTTTGGCTAAAATTGTCGCTCTAGTCTGTCCTTCTTTGCTTTTATGTTCACAAACACCTGAGTGCTGCACTTCAGCAAACTGCCAAGCAATTTCCTTGTTTGGACCTGCTGATTTACATATGATTGGTATATTAGAGTAGCTGCACAGGACCGCTGATTTCTCTTTTATCTCAATAGAAGATACTTCTAAGACATAATATGTAATGTATTGTTCCTCAGAGTTTGGACTTGCAGATGCACACAAATTTGCTGGCACCAATCGAAAAGCAATCCGAATAAAACATTAAAACCCATTTGTGAAATGACTTGAAGCTGAAAAGGTTTAGTCGTCACTCGTTCTTCATTCCGTATCCAAGTCGAACGAGACTCAACGGGCTCGCAGAGCATTGATTTATTCTCAGCCATGATTGTGTGAAGTTTGGAGACTTAATGCTCAAATAAAGGCTTCTCTGTTCCAAGAAGCAGCAACTAAACTGAGAAAGCTTCAATAAACTTAATGTTTACTTTGTAAACGTTGAGCTGATCTGACTTGTCTGAAGAATACTTTTTTCTCATCAAACCAATAGATATTCTTCCCTAAATGTTGTGGCTTATTGGCATCCATTGTGTTTATTTCCTGTGTTTTTTTGATAATAGTGGAGCTCTCTTGGGTCTTCTTCCACGAAGACTGCTGTGTTTTGTAATCGGACGGATGTTGCGATCGGAAAGTGATGTGCCTTGACCTTGGAGTTCAGCTCAAGTGGATTGGGTCCTTGAATTTCTCTCTGCCAATCTGTCTGATCTACCGGGAGTTGCATTTCCTCTTGAGTAAACATCCTGGGAGGTTGGCTACAGTCCCAAGCTGTGTTCACAGGAACATGAAACTTCTTAGAGGTCCTGTGGAGGTTTTGTAGCCTTAACCCTTAACATGACTCTCAGCTGCTCAGGCAGCTCTCCACTTTGCTCTCTGTGGTCAGTGTTGGGTTTAATGGACACAACAATCCAAAACAACCCAGCAGCATGGATTTTTTGTTCTTTTTCAATAGCCCTAATGGCTGGTGAACAGTTTGAAGGCACCCAACACTAACTCTAAATAGGATGAAAACATGACCTTGATACAATGATTAATAGTGTCTCTATGGTTACCAGCTAATCTGTTTGTTCTGTTTTAGCATATCTTTGTAGAAGAATCAAAAAATAATTGCTTTTCGCAATTTTATTTCTTTAAGTGATGAAAGTTTACATTAAACAGTTGTTCTTAATCGAATCACTTATTAGGACAAACGAATCATTGTTTTCATAGACTGGGAGAGTAACAAACAAAGTTTGTCCCTTCTCTCTGCAGACCGTTTGAGCCTCAGCTAGCCGATCACTGGCTTCCAGTGGACATATACATCGGCGGGAAGGAACACGCCGTCATGCACCTGTATTACGCCCGCTTCCTCTGCCATTTCTGCAGGGATCAAGGCCTTGTGACTCACAGGTGGACTGCATTTGCATATCTTCTCCTGGCATGCACGTATATTTAATTTGCACATCAGCTTATGAACTTTCTGCTCTGCAGGGAGCCGTTTTCAAAACTTCTGGTACAAGGTCTGATCAAAGGTCAGACATTTAAGCTGGCAGGCAGCGGGCAGTATTTGAAGAAAGAGGAAATCGAGTTCACAGGTACGCTGCACCTCGATCTGCTGCGTGTTTGTTAATGTGATGTGTTTTTAATAGATGGGTGAAGAGAGCTTCTGTTCATGGAGTTCAGCAAATAAAACAAAGAGGTCTTTTTTTTTTTTTACTCTTTTCTGTTTTCTACATGTTTTTATTAGTAAGCCATTTTTATTTAATTGTACTTTCCTGTACTTATTTCCAACTTAGTGATATTGTAACCTCATTACAAAATTAACAAAATAAGTTACTAAGCCTAAAATATTACATAAATAATTAAGGGTATTCAGTCTACAGCTTAGAAATTGAATAACCAGAAATCCCTTATCTGATCATACAATAACTGATCAGATGTTCATGTCTCTTAACCTGATCACATTTTGTCACATTACACTTTCTTGTGAGATATTAGCAGTATCTTATCGTTGCTTTGTTAGTTCTCAAATGAACCTGTAGAGCCTTCACAGAACAGCAACTGGATTTTATTTAGAGGTTTCAAAGTTAAGGGCTTAATACAATTTTTGCTTTTTTGTTCTTTTTTAGATTTGAAAACTCTATGTACTTTGCTTGTCAGACATAAAACCACATAAAAACCATTCAATGGGTCTGCGTGTTTTTTCAAAGCTTTGTAGTTTTCTTTTATCCAGTATTTCTAAATATGGCATGAGCAAACAATAGATATAAATCCATGACATTTTATGTGTTAACATGATGAGTTTGATGTTGTTGCTCTTAAAAATGAGATTCCTGAACGGCAAGTCTTATGATCCAGGGAACGGGCCGGTGACTCTGAGCGGTGGCAGAGTTGAGGTGACCTTTGAGAAGATGAGCAAGTCCAAACACAACGGACTGGACCCTCAGGAGGTGGTGCAGCAGTACGGTCTGGACACCGTCCGTCTCTACATCCTTTACGCTGCGCCTCCCGAACAAGACATCCTCTGGAACGTCAAGAGTGAGTCTGGCTGCTACTGCAAAATGACACGGATAAATTAAGTTATCAATGAACTTAAATTAAGGGTCAGGTTATTACATAGTGATTTTGTGAGAGTATTTTTTTGAAGAAAGTGTCTTTTTTTTGACAACATAATTGTCAGAGTTCGTAGGTTTTTCTTTACCATGAAGTGTCAGAATATCCTTTCTGTCCTCGTGTTCCAGATGATACACTTCCAGGGGTTCTACGTTGGCAGACTCGACTTTGGCAGCTTGTGACAAAGCTAAGAGGAGCTCGACAACTCGGTGAAGTCCCGAACGGCTCCCTGCTGAAAAAGAAAGAGCTTGAAGAGGTCAAGAAGATCTGGGGAAACAAGAACTATGCAGTTCAAGAGGTGGGTGTTTTTTAGTGTTGGTTAGCCAATTTTGTTAATGATGTCAGCTAAAATGTTCCTGTGTTTTAAAAATGAACTTTTAATCACGTCATTAAAAAGTGAGTCTTACCAGCAGGGGGCAGGAATGAGCTCTTATTTGAATTCCCAGATTTTTTTTTTCTTTTTACAGAAAGTTATTTATTCAGATATTCTGTGACATTTAACCTTCAAATTATCTTTTAAAAAGTCTTCAATTTCCAGAGCATCTCAACATTTTAGGAATAAATAGAAAATGATTTTAGGAGATTTTGTGAAATGCCAAGCAATGCATCAAAGCATCGTTTTTTTTATTTTATTTTTGTGAACAAATATACAACATTCACAGATCATAAGTGTATTTTTTGTTAAGTTGCATTTAGTATAGGATATTCTAGTCCATATTTGCTGGTCTGAGGGTTATAACTATTGAAACAGACCTGACTCAAGTTAGTCCAAATGCTTGAAAAGCAGTGAAAGAACCTTAAACTGCATTACTAAAATGTAAGGCAATTTCACATAATTGTTTGTGGAATTGGAGGTAAATGCAGAAAGATGTTTTTTTTTCTGTTTTTGCTTTTGTGTTACATTTAAATAGATCATCAAATTGATTTTAATGTCAGACAAAGATGGCCTCAGTAAATAAAAATGTATTTTTTTTACATGATTATTTCATCATTGCAATGAAAACAGTCATGGATTAATCATGATTACTGCAGTTTTTGAACAGAATAGTTAATTGTTTTATGAGACAGTCCCACGGCTGATGATTGCCTATCAAATCCCTGAAACAGGACCTGTCTGACAACATGAGGTAGGCTTGTAAAAAACTTTGTAAAAATCTAGTCTGGTGGTTCTGGAGGAAGAAGTTTTGCCTGACATGCTTATAGAAAGTGTAAGCACAGACAGGCTGTTGTTTCTCAGTTACAAAGTATATACATGATCACACCTCAGTAATACGTTACTCATCACACGTTTCCCGGTCGTGTTTTATGAATCTGTCGCAACCTGAAACCCCTAGAGTAAAGAGCAACGGCAGAAGAGGATGAAAATTGATTTTAAATCCACTGTGTCTCCTTTCACACTTTATAAATAGCTCCCCTTCAGCTGCCAGGTTGGGTCTCCCTCCCTCCGCATGTCGGACTCGGAGCTTTTAAAGGACCTCAGGCTGTTTGCTCAAAGGCCTTAAAGCTGAGGCCGTCTTTTGATGCGTCTCACAGAAAAGCCACACCGATGAAGCTTCTTCTCGGGCGTTTCTAAAAACGGGTTCTTCTCCCCAGAATGGGAACACTGAGCCTAAAGTTCTTTCATCCATATCACACATCCTGTGTCTATTAATAAAATGCAAAATGCCAATTTTTTTGGTCTAATCAGCTTATTGTGTTCATATTTTCAGGTGACGGCATACTTCACTAAAGACTTTCTGTTCAACGCAGCCCTCTCTCGCCTAATGGGCCTTACCAACACATTGAGTGTGAGCGTCTCCTTCATTATCTTCAACAAATCTGTCTCGGTTACTGTTCAAAACATGCTGCGTATCTCACATTTTAACATATTTTTCTGGGTAATTAGAGTGCAACAGTTCGAGTCCTGCAGCACAGTGTGGAGTTTGAGGAAGCTCTGGCTGCCCTTGTTATAATGACGGCACCCATGGCTCCTCACTTGGCCTCTGAGCTTTGGGCAGGTGAGGGACATTGTTTCTGCTAATTATGGCTCAACCGTTTACACACGTGTGGTGGAGTGTGCATTTCAAGAGAATGATTTATACATCGGCTATTATGCCATTGTCAGAAAAACAAGGTGCCTATTTTTATTTGACATGTCCATGAAGCGCTTCTGAATTTAAAACATATTTATATGATTAATGTCCCAAAGGTGGGGGAGGGGGGTCACTTTAATACAGATGACATTTTAAGGTAGCATTGGTTAGGGAAGCTCATAGTAAAATTAGGTTATTTTGCATAATGTCAGAGGAAGTAACATCTGATAAACACATCTAGCATAGTAATACATATTCTAATAGAAAGTTTAGTACTACTACAGTGCCATTCACAGTTATTGGCACATTCAGTGAAAGATGTGCAAAAATCCTTAATATAGATTAATCTTTTTATTGCAGAAGCTTAATCTCACAACAATTGTAGAAATAGTCAACCTTGCAATTTTAGGTCCTCATCCCACAGCATCACAGATCCTCCTCTATGTTTAACTGTGCTTTTCCATATATCCATCCTTTTTGCTTGCTCTTCTGTAACAGAGGACTTTGGAAATTTGTTTACCTTCCCTATCATCCTCTTCACTGGAGGGTTCTGTAGGATCTCGCCCAGCTTTGTGGATAGTGGACATTAGAAACGGGTCCAAGTTTAAAACCCAGAGAAACCAGAAGTTAGAAGTTTTGAGAACCTTGACTACTGGTACTTAAAAAAAATCAAGAATAAATCAAGAATTGAAGAAAAGTGTAGTTGTGGAAGAGCAATATTTATGTCGTGTAATTTTCGTAATTCATTTTCTTACTGAAGGATTGTTTTTCTCTGAATAACTGTGTTTAAGTTAAAGGGTGGATTGTTCTAACTATGGAGATTACGCTACAGCAATCATTTCACAAACCTTTACAGTTCTTTACCAGCGGTGCTAAGAGATGTGTCCACGTCTGTTTAGTACATTTTAACTGGAATGATTTACCTCTCTGTTTAGCAGTCGGTTCTGTTTTACTTTTTGTGGTGAGCGAACAATGGAGAGGAAAATCTAATGTTACCTTTTGTGCCTCTTGTGGAAACTTGGCCGGGTCCTAGCCTTTATTGTTGTTGACACACGTACGTACATGGGCTTTCCACACACTGGAAAAGCGCACGGGTCCAGCTAATGGGCAGAGTCTGGAAAACCTGACAGCTGATGGCTGGAAGGAAGGAGCGTGTGTTCAGTTTTGTTTGTGCTCACGCATTTCAGTTCCTAAAACAGTTCATAAACAGGACAGACCAACACGACCTCTGCTGCACTCAGCTGTGCTGGGCCTTTCATTCTGGGTGGCTTGTGTAATTTTACACGCACGCACACGCACACACGCACTCACACAAACACCGTTCAGGATGGAGGAAGTACACATCCTTCCTCCGAGTGTGTGCATCATTCTTGCAGAGTGATGCACTGGTTTAACTGGAAGTCAGGAACACGGTTTGCAACGTTTAGCTGTTTTTCAGCCTTTTAATGTCGTCTTATTGTATTTTCCCCCAAACTGTTGTTAAGACGTATTTAACAGCTGCTTACCTGCGCCTCAGCATTTCTATATTTAGTCTGAAAGCCCTCCTGTGTTCTCTCCTCCGCAGGTCTTTGCACAGTGACGAACCCCCAGAGTCCCCTGCTGCTGCGGGGAGGCGATGTCTTGCAGCAGCCCTGGCCAAACGTGGACCCCGAGTATCTGAAGGCCCCTGAATTTGTGGAGCTGTCTGTGCTGGTAGGACTGCATGAACGCTGTCAGAGACGAACTCACTGATGCGCTGATGATTTATTAGCAACATTTAATAAAAGTCACAAACTTTGAGTGATACTTAGAAAATTTTCTGAAAGGGTTTTAATTGTGCCTGCCACTTGTTTTAGTGTGAGGAAAACTCATTTTCCTCACACTAATAATGTGGAACATACTGAGTTTTTTATTTTGAAAGGAAAACATTGTGCATTTCTTATTACCTGCTTAGTACATCTACTAATGTGCCACTATGTTTCAGTTACCTAATCCCTGAAATAATGGTGCTTTTACTTTGAACGGTATCAGTGAACTACTTTTTAAAAGTCCAGCATATAAAGACATTTCATATTATAAGATTGAGTCTCTAATTTTGAAATACATTTGTTATTTTGGACCTCCAAATGAACTCCACAGTCCATTAGCTCAGGTTTGTTAACAACGCCGATGCTAACAAACCTCTTTTTAATAGTCCAATTTACAAATTGGGTACATATAATCTGTTTGATGTACTTTGGCAACACAAACACTAAATTGCTCTAATTAATTGCCATTACAGGAACCAGTTTAATAAATAAAGAGGTCAAGCAAACTCTTTGAGTGTATTTTTGAGTAATTTCTATTCTAAATATAGTTTTTTCTTGAACACCAAAAACCTTAGTCATTTTCCCCTCAAACTCGCCAACATTTCAGCTCATGATTACATTCAAACTCTGTAATTTTCAACAGAGACTATAATTAGCCTGAGTGTGCACATGACTACATTAATGCAAATACCTGCGTGTGTCAGTTTATGTGCCAGCAGGGCAAGCGGTGCAGTTTAAACTAAACAGACGTGTTGGTCGTAATTAGGTCTGCAACAGAATTGCGGTGTTATTCCTCACTGGTATTTCCTCTTTGAAGTTTTTATTTATTTTTTTGGTTTGACTGTGAACTCGAAAACAGTGAAAATTTTTGTGGGTGTGTGGCTTAGTTACTACTCATGTTGTGGAGACCTAAATATGTCACATCACAAGGGTGTGTCTTCCTCACGAGGCTTAAAAAGGATGTCCACGACGTGGTGTAAATTATTCAGTTTTAAAGCTTCAAACTTGTTTTCTGGTTAGATTCAATGAAGGTTTAAGTTTAGACTCCCTTAGGAAAAGGCAAATTAGCAGGTAAAGCAATGGGATCCAGCATGAATGGACAAATTGGTCCAGGAAATTAAAATAAACTCTTGTTTTGCCTTGTGAAGGAATATATATGTGTGTGTGTCATATGTGCAGATTTGGAGCTTTTATTATCAGTCAGAACTCTGTAGGAGTAATTTGGCCAGTACACTTCCATGAAAAAAATAAAATAAAATGAGCCCTTCTGACTTTCTGAAGGTCTGCAAAAGTTATTTTCCTTCTGGCTGCCTTTTCACTTATTTTTTTTATCCAGTTCTTGCACCTACCTATGGCAGCATGTTGACAGTGTGAAAACAAAAGGAATTGTTTTAGGTCTGAAATGAAACTATTTGTGGCCGATAAATCATATCTAAAAATAATGTATTTTGGAAACAGAAGAGAAAAGTTGCAAAGACCTTACACAGGAGTTTAGAGATGTATCAATCTTTAGTTGCATTTTATTTCAAGCTTCCAGCTAAAAGCGCTTCGGCAAAAACATTTTTCTTTTCAAGATTGAGTCTTTTATAGGTCAGGGCTGAGTGGATGAAGAAACAAACAAATAAAAAAAAGACATTCCTCTGAAAAAAATGTTTGATTCTGAAGAGAAAGTGGGACTATCAGCCAGTGTTTGAAGAAAAACTTGAAAAGATTTTGTAGAAGGCATAGGAAACATTTGCAGAAATCTGCTTTACAAGAAAGTCCCACTGCAGAGCTCTTTAACCCACATCATTAAATATAATGTCATTTGTGATTATACTTATGCTCATACATTGCCTGGTTCTGTAGCCTTTTTTTTTTTTTTTTTACCAAACGGTGTGAGACTCTGGAGCCACAGGTTGAAGACTATTAGTCTGAACAATCTACACTGATTTTTCAATTTTCTTGTCTTTTTTACTTAAGCTTTTAGCTACCAATAACCATGAGTGGAAGCAGAGGAAAATAATATTCTGCTGTTTTTCATTTCTAAAGAGTATAGAATCGATCTAGACACATAGTGATATTTGATTATGGTTCATCAGATGGGTACCCTGTGCTCTGCATTGATTTTAATCATAAAACTTAGATTTTACTTCCTTTATTTTCCTGAGTGGGTCTGACTGAGGTCAAGATCTCCCGATATTCCCCTTTTTCCAAACTTGGCGTAAGCGCACACGTTTGAACTCCCAGTCATCGAGGATAATGAGGCTGGTTTTCCCTTGGACTCAACTGTCTGTTGTGGGATTCCTCGCGCCCTCTTTCTTCTAATCATGCACTTGGGCCTGTCCCAAATACGTGGGACAAACCCAAGGGAGAATAGAGGCCGTGGCTGAGCTGAGGGGCCTCGGAAACATCCATGCATCCACACACCATTAATTTGTAAGCACTTCCAGAGACGTGATCACATTCACCATGCGCACGCATGCACTTGCCTCTGAGCACACATGACCAAGTGGCCTTCCCATACCTACCACTAACTACGTGTTTGAAAGAGTGCGCTGCATATGCAGACATGGAGATGGAGTGTGTTATTTTAGAGGGTGGTGTTTTTTTCCAAGAAAGAGTTTAGGTACAGATCCATCGGGTCGAATGTTTGCCAGATGATGAAAACCTTTCACAGGAAGAACTGGAACATTCTCTCATCGCTTACCTTCTGTTTCCTGCCCTCAGATAAACAACAAGCGCTGTGGCACGGTGACCATCCCTCTGCAGGTGTCCAAAGATCCCGCCCGGGTCCAGCAGCTGGTGATGGAGAGCCCCATCGGACAGAAGTATCTGAGTGAGCGTGACATCAAGAAAGCCATCCTCTCTACCAGGACTCCCCTCATCAACTTCCTGGTTAATGAATGATGTATGGGTGTTTACCAGATTGTGTGCAGCACCTGGCGGGCGGTGCCTTCCTGCTGCACCCACAGACTGACAAATAATGTTGATATTTTGATATTATATGAGAGAGAAGGTATGTTGGTCTGTTAAAAGTATCAAGGTAAATGTCCTCCAAGAGCATTTTATTTATATTTTACAGTTTTTAATAAAACATTCAACAAACAGAGTGTGGGTAATCTTTGCAAACCTGACCAGGATAGGTTCAGAAAGCCTTCAGTTTTACTCAACCTCTGTTGATAAATTATGAACCCAAGTGTCGAACTCGGACGTCCTTCACACATTCATCAAATGTATAACCTCTTCTGTGCCACCATTTCACACCTCCCTGTTTGGGCTGCTTCTCAGCCAAGTATAGATATCCCTTATCAGTGCTGAAAAGCTATTCTGAGCAACATGGAGTGCACTTCTAAAGCCTCACATTTTTGCACATCCTCCTTTGCAAAATAGCTTAAAGTCAGTTAGATGGATTGGAGGATGTCTGTGAACATTTATTTTCAAGCTTTCCCAGAGGTTCTCAGTTGGGTTTGGGTTTGCTTTGATCTCAATGTTTCCATCATAGCTCTGGTTGTATGTTTAGGGACATTAACCTGCTGCTGGAAGGGGGATCTCCTCCCCAGTCACAAGTCTTTAGCTGTCTCTGCAGGTTTTTCTTTCAGGATTGTTCTGTATTTAACTCCATCCATCAACTCTGAACAGCTTCCCTTATCCTTCTATTAAAAGTTAGTAATGATCACGATAGTATAATGCTGCCATCACCGCCATGTTTCATTATGGGAATGGCTTTCTTCTTGCTACCAAGTTTGTTAAGCGCACAGCCTACAGCTGTTGTTAGCTGTGGACCGTTACCAAACTGTTGGGTTTATGCTGAGACTAAATTTCAAAACAAGTGGCTTCTGTTTAATAATTATCTGTGATGACTTTTATTTAGGGGAGTCAGAAGGATGGACACAGATGGGGATACATTTTTCTGATAATCGGTTTTGAAACAAAAATGTCATCAGATCATCAGTTTGATCATCAGATCAGAAGTTTGTCCATCGGATTATTCTCATTAGACGTTGTTCTCCGCAATTTTGAGTTAATTTCTGAAAAAAACGTTCAAAGTGTCTGAATATTCTTGTACGCGAGCTGCTGTTTAGGTTTTAAGAAGCGCTGTTGGGTTCTGCCTGTCCAACCCTGCTGCCATCAAAAGGTGAGTGGGATTTAACTAATGTGGTTGGTAGGAGGTGGGGGGGGGTCTGTTTTTACTCTGCCATCACATCTTGATTATCCATAGCTGCTCAGTGCCCCATCACCGGCGGCGCCTGTTCATTAGCTCTGTGTCTGTGTGGCAGTGGGCCACCATGACTTGGCCATTAGCGTTGCACTCAAAGAGCCCACAAGCTGGAGGCGCTGAAATCTATCTGCGTGCCCACCCACTGGCCTATCTTTAAAGCCTGTGTGAGTAAGCAGTCATCTGATATATGCAAGCGTTTGTCTTTCACAACCTTTCAGTACCCACAGGATTTTTTTTTTGTAGGTGTGTGCTGAAAGTTTGCATCCCACACAAGAATTTTCTAATATCAGCATTTTAACAATTTTGTCGTCTCAAAATACGCTTGTGTGTCATTTTGTGAACTGTATTTGCCCAAAACAAACTGCAGAGAGAAAGGGAGAGAGAGAAAAGCAGAACATTCCTTTAGCCTCTTTTCATATTTCTGTGATTTATCACCCACCATCAGGTGACAGGAAGCGCTTTCAGGACGGACAGAATAACAGGAAGAAAGGCCAGGAATAAGAGAACCAGAGCCAAACCTGTTTTAGCTATTCTCTCTGTTAAATATGCACACCTAAGCTCAGCCAAATGCTGTCACAGCACAAAATGGAAAGGCCAAAGATAGAGGCTCTTTATCTTCCGTCACCTCAAATTTTTGTTTTCTTTCAACGTCCAGAATTGATTTTGTGGAATAAAAATAAAGTCCACACACAATCTTTCTTTTTTTTAAGCTAACATCTGATTTATTTCGAGTCATTGTCGCAACTCGTATACCAATGCAACACTTTATGAGTCGCATTAGTTTATGCGACTATTTTGGATCGTTTAGAGCTGCCAGAAAATCCCAGACTACAAGTTAAAATTGAAAATGTTTCTTCTCATTTTAAGAAATAAGGCCTAAGCTGCAGTGATGCATTTCCTCTGACAGTTAATTTTGTCACTGTCGGCCTCCGCCATACCATTTAACACTTTTTGTCAGTTCTGCAGTTTCCATGACAACTTTGAACAGGGAAGTGCTGCCAGTGACTCACTTTGTCTTCAAACCCCAGCCGTAGCCTTGTGCACCATGAGTTATCTTTAGTGTGTTAAAGTAAATCACTTCCTTTCCTCTTGAGAAACTCTTAAGAGACAAAGAAAAAGAAAAGAGAAAGGGTGGGGCATGCAGCAGTGCAGTCCCAGTCACCCTTCACTGCGCCAGTTTAGTTTCTGGACTGTCTTATGCATTCCCACAGGAGGGCACAGTAATGCTATAGCTCATTAAGCGGGAGGCTGACCGCAAGGAGGACTGTTTGATCCTCTGAGGATGTTCCTGACGTCACTGTCTAAGCAAATTGTAGCTATTCCCTTAACTGCGTTTAGGATAAAGCTAAGTAAATACAAACTGAGTAGATGCAAACTTGTAAAATTCTAAAGCAACAATATCCCACATGTTGTCCATAATATCCATATGTGTTCTGTTTTGCACTGGAATCTATATTTATACAGGGCATGTAGTTTTTTGTTGTTGTTGTTTTTGACAGCATTTTCAAGTCCTCAGTACCAAAACTGTGTGAATGTATCTTGAAATATAGTGACTCTTAAAGGTGTCCGCACCCCTGTTAAATTGCCAAATATTCAGGATATGAAGAGTGAAACCACAACAATGTTTTGACACAGATAATATGACTTTTACCCTGTATAATTAAACTAACAAAACAGTCGGTTTCAAAAGAAATAAATCATCTGCCCTCAGTGCGCATGATTTATATATAATGCTGTGGACTTTTTTTCTCCTGATACTTTGAGCAATTTTAACTGTTTTCATCTTTTGTAATCAATCTGCAAATCATGTCTATTGACAACTGGATTAATATTGCTTCTTTCTAATGTTTCTGCTGCAAAATTCTCCTTAGCAGGAAAATTAGGACAATTTAATCTGTCTAAACGTATTCTCTCCTTTTTGCGGAAATACATTTACATTTATGAATTAATGTGTGTAGTCTGAGAAATCTACAGTTAAATTTGAGAATAAGTTCAACTTGTTGTTTTAAGTGGTTTCTCTTATTTTTCCACATTTGTGTATATTTATGTTTTACGCAAAATATTCAGTTTACAATAAATAGCTAGTATCCAATGTTTGTGAAAGCACAGTTTGAGCACCTCGTTTCAACATTCTTAATATAGTTTGGTTAAAAAATGTTTATATGATATGCAAATGCAGTGATTACAATCTATTTTTTATTTTATTGTTTGATTAACTTCTGAATGATAACTAGCCTGTGGTTAGGCAGAAGGAGCAAATTCTTAGGATGATGTCTGCACACACTCTTAAAAGTTTTATTGTCTTTGCATCTTCTTTACATGGATAGTCAAGTCTTGTGGTGTAAACTATTTTAATCTAACCACTGGCCGAGGCCTAGGCCTCCCTTGACATCCTGTTTGCTTAAATTTGTGACATATTTGCATGTATGAATGTAGCAGTTTGTAAACTCATCATGCTGTTTTTAAACTTTTCATGCAAAACTTTTATTTTATTTTTTTTTTTAGCTTTCTGAGCTTTTATTAAAAGGGGAAAAAATCCACTACTGCAAAGTTGAAATATCTCACAAACAATATTCAAGTGTGTGTGTGTGTGTGTGTGTGTGTGTGTGTGTGTGTGCCAGAGTTGCCTTGCAATTTAAAGTACACCTCCCTATTCCAGAGCAATATGGGGGAAAATGTGTGTAGGAGTGGCTAAGTTTGGAGCATTTTATTAATCAAATGGATGAACACTGCCTTGCAAAACTATTCATATTACCACCAGAAGTACATAACTATTATAGGGGGCAATTCATAAAGTGAAATAATGAATGGCTTTCAACATGTGTACTTGTAAAAAAATTAAAAGTGCATTTGCATTGTGCTGATGTTTTGCTCAGGTGAATCACACACATTCCTTATTTGGATGATGGTTTGAACAAAGCTCTGTCAGATTCTCGACAGAGCTCGAAAATATAACCTAAAGTGTCTTTAGGTTATAAAACAGTATCCCGAGGTAACTAAAGGTACTTGGGTTATAACTTCATCCCTAAAACCTTTTGGTATGATCATATCTTTGTATTGTTAGTTCACTAATGTTTTAACAAACTTCTGCGAGGAGAAGGACTCTAATAACAAGTTTAAGACGTGATTTCTGAAAGCAAGTGAAGCCCTGAATTTTATTTAGGGGTGTCAGACGACTGAATACATAAACGCAACACATTTTTTACATTGGGGAAACTTAAAAAAAAAAAATGAAGGCATTTCTTTAGTTACATGGTGACTTTTTGTCTGTCGGTAAAGCTAATTCGGTTAGGACAGATAAGGAAAGTGATATTTTTTCAGTCGCGTTTAATGCGAGTACTGCGCCTTTAAAAACACAGCTCTGTGCTTTGTGTCCTAACTGTCGTCCGGTGGCCACGTATGGCTCCTTTCAACAGCGGTAACAGCGGCTAACGAGTCCTATCCCATAACCGCCCTGACCTTAGCCAAGGGTTTATTTGTCTTTAACAAACGTGGTGGACTTTTTTCCCCCTTCTTCTTCATCTTCGTTTGAAGCGCAGAGGACAAAGTTTTGTCTGAATGTTTCCCGCTGGGACCGTGAAACCGGAGGAGGAGGTGGAGGCGGAGAAGGAGGGGGCAAACGGCTGAGGGGTCGTCCTGTCCAGTCAGAGTATCTGATCCGGGATCTGCTCAGTCAGACAGACAGACGGCGGCTTCTTCGAGGCTGAACTGTCGGATTCACCGAGGGAAAACTTTTTCTTTTTTCTTCCCGCGGATGATTCAGTTAGAAATACAACGAGGTTGGGATTAATTTAAAGTAGTTTTGACTTTGTTCGGGATAGGGTTTTTTCCCTCTCTGTGTGTCAAGACTTCAAACTCTGGAGGTATCACTCTTCCTACGGACGTTTTTGATTCATATATAACTTCTTGTAACTTTATCACAGCAAGCGGTTCGGTGTTCTTACACAAAATGGATAAATACGAGGATTTGGGACTCGAAGCGAGTAAGTTTATCGAAGACTTGAACATGTATGAAGCATCCAGAGATGGCTTGTTTCGAATGAGGAGGGATGCAGGAAATAACCCGGACTTTGAAGAGACTAGGAGGGTTTTTGCCTCCAAAATGACCAAAATACACATGCAGAAACAGCAAGAGGAGATGGCAAAAAGCAACCAGGTGATTAAAATGAACGGAGGTCACCACGGCGGCGCTCATTACACCAAGGACAGACCGCCCATCAACAGCTACAGGCAGCCGGGGGAAGCGGCGGCGAAGCCCCCGATCCTGTCGGGCCCGGTTCCGAGCGCCGTGCCGGTGAACCAGTGTATTCAGGCTGAAGCTCCAGCCAGCAGGGCGTACGGCTACGGAAGCAATTATGATAACGAGCGCTTAGAGCCACATTCCTCCCATCACAGTAACTCTTCCATGCCAAGTTGTGGAAGTCCAGCTACCAGTGCTTTGCACCCTGTCTCCCCATCCAGAGAGGGCAAGCTGCCCCCCACTCTCTCAGGGAGCAGCAGCACATCCCACCATCAGCCTCAGCGCCTGCACACATCTAACACTGTCAGTCCTTCACAAGCAACCAATCAGAGTCCACTGTGCTCTGCTGGAACAGCCAGGGCTTGGACTGGAGAGCCCATTGGTGCTCCATCATCAGAGGGCATCCCTGCCTTTCCTTTGACCGCTTTCACAGGTGATGCTGACTATCATGTGCAGCAGCCTGTGAGTCATTACTTACAATCTGTTAACCATAATGGTCCTGCAGCCACTTCCTTTGTCCCAGAAATGCCTCAACCTAAAGCCCAGGTGACCTCTGCAGCCCCATGTGCCTCTAAGAACCAGCTAACAGCTCGGAGCCAAATGCCTGGTGGCGTACAGGCCATGCAGGTCATCAGCGATGGTCCTGGAGGTCCGTCCTCCCCTAAACCTGTCCAGATACCTTCTACCGCTCAGCCTGTGCAGCCGCTGGAGCAGGGGCCCTCTGCAGCTGAAATCAAACTAGAGGCACTTACGAAACAACTGGAAAAAGAGATGGATGCCCAGCCAAAATCGGACTACTTTGGTAAGACTAGCCGACACCAACAAGGGGGTTTCTGTCAGTTTATCACCATCTGAATGACAAAAGCACCCACTCACGTTCATGGACACAAACCCATTTGTTTTTGATTTCATATATCATATTATACACACTGACTGCCACATCTCACACATAAACAAATGTCCTGTATGTTTTCACAATGTCCTATGTTTTTACTGATAAATTCAATTTTTATTTTAGTCTGCTAGACAATAATCCTTCTTTGTCTTCTCTAAACAAACCCTTCAGGCGGTAAAAAATGGCCAAAGCCAGGCAGATGTATGCTTTCATATTGTCTCTTCCCAGAGATCACTTTATCATCGTTGACACAAGGATAGTAACACAGCAATTAGAGCTTCAGCATACAAATATCTTCACTGCAGCGTTTGAGCTCGTGTGTTATCGTGTTTTTTCCAGTGTTTACTTTGACTGACAATGGCCTCCACTGTTTTTAGCTAATGACTTTCATAGACCTGTGCTTGCACATTTTTCAATTATCCCAAACTGAGCGTTTTAATACCTGCTTGAGCGCGTGTTGAGTTCCACCATTGTTGCCGAAGGTGCAGAGAAACGTCAGCAGAACAGTGATGTTCCGCTCATAGTGCCTCGCAAAAGTTTTGCAAACCGGTAGAAGTTTTGCCACATTCTGTCATTTTGCAGACATAACCTGTAATGCTTTGGGACTTCATACGATGGAGAAACAAAAGGTTGCACATATTTGTGATACGGAAGATTTTTGATATTTTTGTGGTGTCTGTGGTGTGCGTTTGATCAGGCACTTTGAATTAATAACATTGAAAAAGCCTTATTTTACTCCACACACATCTGCATGTCTTTTTGGATGCCTCTCTTCCAACTCTGCACATTTACAGACAACAATCATTGCACCTTCTCATAGCTCTCTGTTAGATTGAATGGAAAGTCTCTGAATATCACCAGATTCTCCATTGGATTAAGAACTGGACTTTGACTGGACCATTCTAGCATATAAATGTTTAATCTAAGCCAAGGACAGACAACCTCCGTCTTAGTTTTAGATGTTACTTAGGTTCAACATTATCAATCATCTCAATTAACTTAGTTTTTCCACCACACATAGCAATTTGCATATTGACCAAAAAGTTTAGTTGTGGTTTCATTCGATGATCACCTTCTTCCATGTTTGCTTTGTCCTAAATGTACAACTGTAGAACGAGACTTTTTAGCTTTTTTCAACGTTCGTCTTTCTTCTTGTCAATTTTCCACAAAGATCAGATTTCTGCAGTGTGTGACTGTGCCAACAGATTCTCCCTGCTTTGGATCTCTGCAGCTCCTCCAGAGCTCCTATGAGCTCTTGGCTGCTTCTCTGATTAACGCTCTCATTGCCCTTCTTATCAGTTTAGTTCAAGGAAGTATAAATGACTTTGGACGCTGTAGTTGAGCTTTCAGAAGGATATCCTTCATAAGATTAGTTTGTAAGCTCTAATCTGCAGAATGAGATATAAGAAAAGATAAAATGTAAAATAAGTATGCCCTACTTCAACAGTATTCTATAACAGATAGTAAATGAAAGTTGATGCATTCGCTATGAAGCAGCTCTGCAAAGCCATCATCGTTTCCTCCGTCCAAGAGGAATTTCCTGTTGGAATGTCACGATTGCAATTCACAGTCCTTCTTCGCCCCCCTCCCCCCCACTTGTGTTGGTGTGTAAGGGAAGAAGTTACAGCGCATGGGACTGTCACGACACGGCTCGTAAATATCCTCCTGACGTGAACGTTACAGACATGTGGGACAGTACAGGACCCATGTGCAGCCAGGAAATGTGTAGATTATAAGTAATACACTAAATGTGTATATAAATAAATACACAGTTCTACATGCTCAATCCCACACAGCCCACACATGCAGTTGTTCCTATTTGGAGTTTCCCACCACACTGTGGCTCATTCTGAGTCATGCATTCATGCTAGATTTAAAGGAAAAAAAAAAACAGCGTGGAGGCCTTTTTTCTTGTCGTCATAAAGTATCTTTCTAATTCCGTGAGGAAAATGTACAAGAAAATGCCATTTCTTTAGGCACATTTTGTATATTTTTGATCCGTACTGCTGTAGGTTATTAAATTACTTTTTTTTCTTCTTCTTTTTAGTAAGACTGTGTGCTTCCAAAAAGTCTTTGCCAGTGAAACTTTCACCAAGCAGTGTCCTGAAGGCAGATGCATCACATTTCCCATGACTACTCTTTGCCGATCGGCATAACTGCAGATGTAGGTTCTGGGAAATGGTGTTCGGTGCCAAATGGCTGCACTGGGGAAACACGAAGGAATGTCTGCAGGAATTTTTAAAATGAGGCTTTTAGACACAAAAGGGAGGTGTGGTGGTACCCAGACAAGTTCAGGGGTGCCTGTTGTGCAGATGAATGGATGAGTGGCCAGTTGGGGAGCATTGGGGGCAAAATTTGTGGATGTGTCTTTTGTATTTGGCCCCAAGGGAATAAAAGAATGCTAGATTTACAGGAAAGTTCATCCAAGATGGGGAGAAGTGGTGGGACTGGAGTTTTACACACACACACACACACACACACACGCAGACACACGCACACACAATCACTGGAGGGTTTAATGTTGTGTTAAGATGAAGGATTAATTCATCCCATCTGGCTGTGGAGTCAAAAAGCACCATATTAACTCTTCCCAGGGATTTTTTGGCTTCTTCTCTGGCAGGCCTTTTGGAGTCCCGGTCCCGTGTGTGTGAGTGTGTGATAGCCCTTCATGCGCATGTGAGCGTCTTTGTGAATATATGGCCTGCAGAAGCTGACAGAATGTAATATCCTGTGTCAGCTCCGACTTTAGACTGGAGTCGCACTGTGCGCACTGGTGAAAGTTAGGAAATGAATCCATGAATGAAACATTACTGCATATTTTACGGGATTGAAAGTGGATTCCCAGTTTCAATTATCAAGTGATATGCAAATGTTGCCCAATGTATTGGGCACAAGTTGACTCTTTTGCAACTATCAGCATTAAAATTGCTACAGACATATTCTAATTCTAGTGAAGATATGTAAAAACCCTGAAATAAATAACTCTAATCTCACCCTGATGAATGTACAAAAATATTAACTTGTCTTCTATATCAATTCAGAGGTTTGAGGTATTCAGAAGTTCATTTTTGATCTCTTCACATCATCCAGATACAACACAAAATTTTATTTAAGTAATAATCGCTCTATTAGAGTTCCCAAGGCTTTTGTTAGACAAACGGGCCGTAGCGTCACAGATCCTCCACTGTACTTAACGAGACGTTTTCCCATATATTCTCCCCTTTTTTTTCCACACCGATCCCACCTGGAGCTTGTTGCCAAAAGATGCGTCTGTCGTCTGTACAAAATGCATATTTCAATGGAAGTCCCAGTAGAGTGGAGTAAACTCCACATGTTTATGTTTGTGATGGTTGGACAGGAAAAGCTCTTTTCTGGTAGCACTCCCAAATAACAAATTGGCGTGGATTACTAAATAAAATCTCATAGAAATGCTGATTTAATGAAGTTTAAAAAAACAAAAAAAAAACAAACATGTGATTGTGTAACTTTTTTTATTATTTCAACATTGGATGCTTCCCCCATTATGTTCTCAGATTGAAGGTTACATTTTTTGGTTTTTCAGTGTGAGGTTATGCTACTGCACTGTATAATTTTTCCTCGTCATTAACTAATAAATGTGTGTGTATGTACAGTACGGGCGCACTACACCAGCAGTTTTTATACATGGACAAGCTGCAGGCTGTAATTGGCTTCTCCATATGCGGCTTTTGAGTCCCAGCAGTGTGAGTCACAGACACCCTGACTCTGTATTCCCGTAGAAACGTCATGGAAAAGTAATTAGCTGTAGCAAAGGTCGAAGACATGTATTTTATTGAGCTTAAAGCACCAGAAAGAGTGGAAATCTTTTGCTGATTATTTAAAGTTTGACCTGAGAGTAAGACTTCATCTAAAAATGTTTTTTTCTGGTCTGGTTATTCTGTTAGAAACTTTCAAGAGAGATCCATGGGATGAATAGATGTTTAAAACATTTTTTTTCCCTGTCGGTGGAATATTTGGCAGTAAGCAGCCATCTATCGAGAGTTTTGACAGCTGGAAAAGGTGAGGAAGGTAGAATGAGAAGTACGGCTGTGTGTTTTGCTTCCCTTCCCCCAAAGTTTAACCCAGGCAGTCCATTTAAAAGGCAGGCTTGTAAATGACCAAAGCAGCAACAAGGTTGATGCAGAGACAGGAATTTTAATGCATTTAAAAAAAAAAATAAAAAAATTTGACTTTTAGTGTATTTTTCTAATTAGAAATAAAAAAGATAATGAAATGTACATTTTTGTTTAGAGGCAAATCTTAAAGCAAAACATATTAAATGTCCTAAATGTGTTTTCTTATCTCATTGGGGCTTTTAGAAAAAGGGATTTAAATGACCAGACATGCTTATTTTAGTAGTTGATTCTAATCCAAATAGCTTACATAAGTGCTGCATTCTTTTACTTTCTAATAATATCCTTCTGTTATCTTTAAATCTCCTTTCTGGCCACTGGAGCCCTAGATTCATTTTTTGTTGTTGTTGTTGAAATGATTCTCTAATTTCTACCAAAATTTTGACTAAATTATAGAAGAAAATTTGGCTCAGCAGCGTTATTAAGTGAAACTGTTTTTTGAAGGAGTCAGCCATGTGATGTTTGTTGGATACAGTGGAAACAGAAGGGTCTTTGTCAGTGATTTAGGAGGAGCAGAGTTGGGCGGACCTCCTCTGCTGGGCTCCAATTCAGAGTCCCTCAGGAGTTTTTCTATAAAAAAAAAAAACATACACGCACACAAATAACTCGGTGCCCTTGCGTGTACATTCTTAAACTAAAAGGGAAACTCGAGGTCTCAAGGTTTCATCCTCCATCAGTGCCGTAAGCCCCTGTGTTGAGTCAGTGGTTGATGAGTGGAAGGCCATATAGCCATACCATAGCTGATTGATTTGACACCCATCTGACTGCGTCTTAGTGGTGATAAGCTGTCATCGGATTGGTTCTCAAGTTGTGTAGTGGATGCTCAGAGGCATAAATATAGAGCAGTAAAGTGCAGATTTGATCTTTTACCTACTAGAACTGTTTCTGACCAGTCCGTTGAAAATGTCTTTGTAGAACCAAAGGTTCACTCAGACAAATCCCCACATCTGGTGGCCAGGATCTGCAAAATGTGAGAAGCGTATCGCTAACCCTTTCTTTATATAAATATTGGTTACTAAGGACATACAAGACAGGCAGTCATTTGGAGCTACGACTTGGCACACATTGATATGATTCAATGTGTTGTGTAGCTCTACTAATAACCCAGTTTGTCCTCTAAGCTAAGAGAAGGTTGAGCAAGAACAACTGATCATGAGATTCTTCTGATTATGTACGATTATTGTTTTTCCTGCCTTGACGGACCAAAGGAAGGCTCACTTGTTTTGACTTGATTGTTGTGATTCTGGTGTTGAATGCTGATGTATCAAGACCAGTTCTAAGTCCAGGTTTTACCTCTCTTTCACCTTTTGGTGCCTGTCTTTTGTCATTGTATGACATCCTGTGTAGATATTACCAAGTAGGTAATATTTAGATGAAAATAAAACATGGTTAGGATATAAACTGTCAAAGGAGGGATGTTTTTACTTCGATCAAAGGAGCATCGCTGCTATGATCGGTCTTATTGCTCTCGACATCCACATGTGGCTTACTTTATCTACACATTTTATTGTCTATACTTTGGCTTGAGTGTCCGTGTGATCATTAAACAGACTCCACTCCACTGTCGTTATGTCGAGCCAGCCAAGCAGAGTGTGTTGTGAGAGTAGGCACACTTTGATTTTTATCAACTCCTTTTATTAACACAAGTCCAGGTTTCAGAGCCAAGTCAAGCAAACAGACTGGGAAATATTTCCCTTTTTACTAAATCAACTTCCTGACTTTTGTCTGGATAAGCTAATTCTGTGGTGTATTGTGTTTGTTTTAGGATACCATTTTTTTTTTTTTTACTGTTTGTGTATATAGTTGTATTTTCATGTAAATATGTAGTGAAGCCCCTCTCCATGTCACTGTTTTTTGTTCCAGGGCTTTGCATGAAGTGTAACAAGGCGGTTTACGGAGCTAACCAGGCCTGCCAGGCTATGGGTAGCCTCTACCACGACACCTGCTTCACCTGCAGTGCTTGCAGTAAGTACATACACCTACACACACCATGCCTTCACTGTGAGATTTTTGTCTTCTCACTTAAACCCCTTTGGCCCCATACATGGAGCTTATGACTCCTTAATAACAGGCTACTGAGCTTCTGTATCTGTGAAAGAAAGTGGCACCTTCCTCGGTCGTTTCCTTCCCTTCGTAAATGCTCACAATTATGGAGGGATTACTATCATGTATTGCTGGTGTTTGGTTTGTGGGTGTGTCGGTCTATCTTTGAGCCCACACAAAGACAGAGTTGAACTATTTACCTGCCCGATTTATCAACCTGTCAATTGAATACCTTTTTCTTTTTGGATGAAAAGATTCAGAACTTCACGCTGAAAGTCGCTGATTGACAAATATCTTCGCTACTACTCAGAAACCTTGAGACCACTTGTCGCTTCTAGAAAAGTAACACGACATTCCCTTTTTACGCGGTGTGCTTACATTTGTAATTGCTTTGAAAATGTAGAATTTTCTAATAGTCTTGATCAAAAATTCTCCAGTGAAATGTTTTCCTTTATATTTTTGTTCTGTTCTCACTAAGTTTCTGTGCACTCCCTCCCTGGACTGAAAAACATTGCAAGAAGAAGGTCTTTTGAAGAAACGAAAACAAAAACAAATATATGATTGTCTTGCAAATGTATTAATACTTGAACTTTTTGAGGCCACGTCAATAAACTTTGTGGTATTTTATTGGGAATTTATGCAATAGAACAACAGTAAGTTGCACTGCATAGTTATGAAGTGCAACAAAAACCGTGTATTGGTGTCTTCTCATTTTTAAATTCATGCTTCGTGTTAGATATTATCCCAATCAAAAATATTTCTCTTGACCAGAATCTTCATGTCTAGAACAGAATGACTGAAATACGACCTGGCTCCTCACGACGGCAAATTAAAATCTTCGCTCCATTTTTCAGCTCATGGGTATGCCGAGTATTTGTGCCACTGTTTTGGCGAACCCCCGCTGAGGCTCATTGTTCTCCAGCTCCTTTGACCTCGGACGGTTATGCTCTGAAACATGTGATAAACATCTCTTGTTTTCCCCAGCCTCTCTGTCCTGCGTATGAGACGGGAGATAAAAGAGAACGGAGGCATTGTGGCTCAGATTGAGGCTGATGTCTGACATTCGGTGGGGAACGAGGGGGGGGGGCGGGTCGTAGTTTACACACTACATACCTCTCATAGCTCGCTCCATGTGGGGGCACTAGGGTTGTGCTCGCTTTAAGTGGCCACGGGGAAAAAAAACATCTCGTCCAGAGAGGAATGCAGGAGTAGGGGCCCATGTAGGTCCAACAAAGTGTAAATAGATGGAAGACAGTGTGTGGACAGGGGGGCCATTCAGCTGGAGCATGCATCGCACCACGCACAGCCATGAGCGATGAAGGAAACTCCAACATTTCTGGTTGAGATTTTTGTTGAAGATTTCACATCTCTGGCTTTTGTGAAGCTTTAATGTGCCAGCACTGATTTTAGCAGCTTTAGTTTTTTTTTTTTTTTTCTATAAGGAACTTTGTTCTTGTTTTAGCGGTCATTTATTATTCATTTTAGCTATGAATATTCCTAACAGGATTTTCTTCTACTGTTGTGTTCTTTTCCACAACATTGGAAATTTTAATAAAGTAAGTTTCAACATGCTTAAATGTGCTTTAAATGGCTACCTGAGCCATTTTAAAATATTACAAAGCAATATTTGCCACCGAGGAGCTTTTTGACCACCTCGGCGACCTCGTCCCCAGAGATTGGAGAGCCCAACCCACAGTCCCCAGGGTCAGCTTTCTCAACAGAAGGCATGTTGGTGGGATTGAGGAGGTCTTCGAAGTATTCCGCCCACCGGCCCACAACGTCCTGAGTTGAGGTCAGCAGCACACCACCCCCACTATAAACAGTGTTGGTGCTGCACTGCTTCCCCCTCCTGAGACGCCGGATGGTGGACCAGAATCGCCTCGAAGCCGTACGGAAGTCTTTCTCCATGGCCTCTCCAAACTGGTGAGTTGGCTCCGGTGGTGGGGGAGGAAGCCGGTCAGCCCTGGCAGGCCCAAATGTGTAGTGAGGGTCTGCTGGGAACGTCTGGCGGAGTCCCCTGTGAGACGGAGCTTTAACTTCCATCTCCGGCAGAACTTCGAACACGTTCCGGGGCAGGTGGGAGACATTGAGTCTGAGTGGACCATGTTCCGTGCCTCCATTGCCGAGGCGGCTTATCGGGGCTGTGACCACAAGGTTGTTGGTGCCTGTCGCGGCGGTAACCCTCGAACCCGTTGGTGGACACCTTCGGTGAGGGAGGCTGTCAAGCTGAAGAAGGGGTCGGGCCTTTTTGGCCTGTGGGACTCCAGAAGCAGCCGATGGGTACCTGTGGGCAAAGCGGCAGGCGGCTCAGGTGGTCGCTGAGGCAAAAACTCGGGCGTGGGAGGAGTTTGGAGAGGCCATGGAGAAAATTTATCTAGAGAAGCTGAAATACCTAGCCATAATGCTACTTGACACACTATTGGCTGACGTTTGCAAAGCGGCCAGTACAGGAGCGCCATCTATTTTCCTTGGCAGTGAAACAAAGCTGAAGTTTGCTTCTGATTGTAACTTCCTATTGAGGAAATGGTTAAAGGGCAAACCTGGACTTAATTATTCTACGCTATTAGCCGAATCGTTCAGACCTGTTTTGTGATCTGTGAAACCTGTGTTTCTTACCTGGAAAAAGATCGGATTTGAGAGTTTTGTCCAGCTGGTCATCGGGAGGGGACGATCAAAAAGCTGATTCTGGTCACCAGCTGATTTCTCTTTGATTACTATCCAGAGCTGATGCTGCACTTTTCTGCAGGGTGGATAATGAGAAGTAGAACCAGCCACAGTTAGACGCTGAGCCCTGTCCTCTCTGAAAACAAACTCTGAAATTCGATACACAGAAGACCGACTGTTCTGACCACCACTCTCATTCACACTCCCACCAAGGCCTCCAAATATTCCTCTTGGTCAGTTTTCTACAAATTGGTGTCTCTACCAGAAAAGAGAATGATTGAGAGCGAGGCTGAATATCTGCTTTAAGACGTTTTATTTTGAGGGGGGCGTGTCTCAGTTGAGTAATTAGCCGAGGGGAAAGAGGGAGGACCAGGGTGACAGCTCGAGGCGTCCCACGGTCACTTTGAATTGATTATGTCGTTTTTCATGAATGGGATTAGTCTTGAGGGCTAACGGAATGGTTTTAATTAGAAAAATGGCTTTGTGATTTGTTCTGTCCCACAGGTGTTTTACATTTTTATGAAAGAACTACAGTCATAGTCCTTTCTCCTGCTTTTCGAGCCATCAGTCCTGACGCCTGACTTTAATTAAGCCATTATCTTTTCAGAAAAGCTTGGAGTTTTCCTTCTTTAACTCGCTGGGGTAAAAAAAAAAAAAAAAAGAGAGAGAGACAGGAATTTGAAAAAGAGAAAGACCCAGAGCTTACTTCCATTCCCCTTATCCAAACTGACTTTAACAGAGGACTTTGGTCTGAGACGTTTGGTCAATAATTACCCAAGTTTTACACCTTGGAAAAATGACCTGAATGACACAATGTAGTTATGTTCTTATTCTCATTAAGTCAGCTCATGTAAATAATTGAACACTTAAAAAATATTTGAATTAAATGAATTAGTATTAAATACCAATAATACTAAAGTTAGTATTTAACTCTGTTAAATACTAACAATTTGTTGCGCTACTTTGCAAGTTAATTGTGATAAATCTGTCAGTCTAGAAGTAGTCGTGTGTATCCAGATAATCAGGTAAACAGCAGGAAAGAAGGGTTCTCCTGTCGTCTCCACCCACCCCCCTGCCGACCCCACCTACCCCACCCCACTCCACTCCACTCAGAAAATTTGAGGAATGTTCCCTCTTCCTGTGGGATCTGGTCAAGAATAGCTATGTGAAGTAAGCAAGAAAGAGTCATTCTGGTAGATGGATGGATCACTCCTTGCAAGTGATTTTTGCAAGTGTGTGTGTGTGTATTGAGAAGTGAGATCCAGACCATACACAGACAGACAGGAAACCTACCAACCATGTGGAACGACACTAGAACGGAACAAAGAGGGGAGTTTTTGTGGGCTTTGGCCCGTTCTCGCCGTGAAATCAAACAGAGCAGAGTGCTTAATCTCTTGCACCTGTCTGGTAATTGGACGCAATCAGTTTTTTCCACGCACGTGTTCGATCCAGATGCATTTCTTGTCCCGACTGCGGCAGGCTGTTCCGCGTCCTCCCACCCCTCCCCCCCACAGTATTAAACGAAGTCTCCAGCACACCATAAATCCCTACCCTTTGATTTATCTCCTTGGATATGGTGAATATTACAAGAGGGCCCATTACCTTCCAATGGCTGTAATTAATCACCAAGCTCCCTGTGCCGAAGTCCTGGAACGATTTTTTAAATAAAAAAAAAAAAATGAATTTTCAGATTCGGATCGTAGCTCATGCAGGATTTTCCACTCTGACATCTTGACATCGACTTTCCTTTTTCTTAGTCTGCTTTAATTTACTTTCTCCTCATATCTTTATGATGAATAAAACGTGTGTTTCCACAGGTGACAAAAAGGTCTTATGGTGATAAACAGTTTTTTTTTTTTTTTCTTGTTTTTCCAGGTCGAAGGCTAAGAGGGAAGGCTTTCTACTACGTTGGAGGGAAGGTCTTCTGTGAAGAGGACTTCCTGGTAGGTGATCAATATACAATCAATATTCTCAGTCCCTCTATTAGTGTGTGTGTTCTTATTGAGGGAGGTTAACAAAAAGACCTTGTGGGGTGCTGCGTCCACTAACAATAAAGGCATGACCTTCCAACTCTGACCCTGTGACCTGTTTCTAGCGCCTAATGCGGCCGCTTCATGTCAGTTTGCTCCTGTGGTCGCAGCTGGAAGGAGGCCGGTAACTTGAGAAGCTGTTTAGCTTTACTTTATGGGTTAGAGGGCAGTCGGGCCATTTTCACCGGTCAAATATGACAACAAGCACTTTGCAAAAACCTCAGAGAGGATTACATTAAAAACAAGGCGACTTCCAAAAGTTGAGGTGGTTGTTTATAAAACCACGGCTCACAATAAATCATAAAGTATGACCAAAATAATTCATTTAAAAAATCTGTACGAGATGTGTTGATAACACGTAGGGTGATTTGTTAGTTTAATTTATGTTAGTTTAAATGATTAGGGCTTATAGCTTTTGAAAACCCCAGATTTAGTTTAAGAAGACATTAGGTTTTTTTGATTGAAAAAAAAAATACCATGGAAATAGATTTTTTACTGCTGATTTGTTTACTAATAGGAAGTCAAGTGGAAGGAAAAAAGTGTGGCAGAAGGAAGAATCAGAAGGTCTCTACTCTGACAATAGTCTGTGATCTAGGAGCCAGCACACACACATTCCTTGAGTTAAGGCACTTCTAAACCAGACCCAATATTACCATATCACCTTGACTGAGGAGAAAAAAGACTGGTCCGTTTTCTTAATTGAAATCTTTCCTTTTTTTCCATTTTGTACTGGATTACAAATGACATGAAAATTGCAATTTCCATGTCATTTGTAAACCAATCTCCGGAGCCTGGAGGGAGAGTGGAGGAGTCTGGGTTCCAAGCTGCTTGAACCTCCAGGGTGTATTTCTGCAATCTGTGATGGTTTGGGGAGCCAAGAGGCTTTTATCTCTTGATTTTATTGTTTCTTATGTTGGTGTTATGTTTTGTATGGTTTTAAGGTTGATTTCTACTGTACAGCGCTTTGTGATTTTTATGTCTGTGAAAAGCGCTTTATAAATCAACTTTACTTACTAAGTCATCTGCTAGTGTTGCTGATGTCCATCATGTCTTATCAAGTCCAAGTCGGCGCATCCATCTACCGGAAAATTACTGAGCACTTCATGATTTCTTCTGATGACAATTTTCATAGAAATGGTGATTTTATTTTTCAGCAGGACGTGGCAACCATCTGCAGTCGAAAGTGCCAATACTTTGTTCAATAATCACTCTGTCACTCTGCTTGATTGGCCAGCAAACTGGCCTGACATCAAGCCTGCAGAAAATATGTGCAGCGTTGTCAAGAGGAAGAAGAGGGACACATGATCCAAGAATGCAGATGAGCTGGAAGCCATCATTAAAGCAACCTGGGCTTTTTTATAATAATAATGAAAAACAATATGACTTTAGCCAGTACGATCCCATTCAGATACACCTTATCTACTCATCAGGATCACAGACTGACCACCTACAAGCCACCCTTCACTGATGCAGGATTTCATGCAAAAGGAGCAAAAGTGTTTAGAGATGATATTCTGGTTGAATGCTTTCCAGCTGTTCAAAGCAATAGTTTATTTTAACAGGCGGAGGCGCACAGGCAGCATGTGGTTGATCAGATCTCAGACTAAAACAGAGTGAAATCTCATTCTCTGCCACCAAATTCAAAGAAACTTTTCATCTTTTTTTTCCCTCTCTGCAGTACTCTGGTTTCCAGCAGTCTGCTGATAAGTGTAACGCATGTGGACATCTGATCATGGACATGGTAAGTGTCTGTTTCTCCTCTCTTTGGCCGACTGGGTGTGTGACTCAGAAGCAGACAGAAACTTCTGATGTGTTTTCCCCTCAGTGCCGTCTGTGTGTGCACATGTGGATGTAAAACCTGTGTGGACAGGTTGCACAGTCTGTGTTGAACACAGCAGCAGGCGGACACAGAGTGGAAATGGAGGTTTAAACAATGTCATTAATTAAGGGACTTCTCAGGAAATAAATCTGCAGGTGTTGCACATCAGTAGATAAAGTCTCCATATCCTCAACAATATAAACTTCTATGTGTAAACACACACCCCACTGAGTCTCGTTTTTTATGTAATTATTGTGTGTTTCTTTAAAAATGACCTGTGTGATTTCTTCATCTATTAAGACGGTTTAGCTTGAATTTATTCTGTTAAGGACAATCACACAAAAAAACAGTGGTACAATTCAACAGTACTGTATTTTGATGCCAAACTAGTTTCACCAACTAATCAACCAGTTTGACAGAAAGGTGTAAGATGTGGACAGGATCGTGTTGATGTCCTTAATCTGACTCCGTCTGCAGATCCTGCAGGCTCTGGGGAAGTCGTACCACCCCGGCTGTTTCCGCTGTGTGATCTGCAACGAGAGCCTCGATGGAGTTCCCTTCACTGTGGACACGGAAAACAAGATCTACTGTGTCAAGGACTACCACAGGTGAACAAACAGTCACATACTTTAAACTTTGCTACATTTTGTCACGTTGCAGCCACAAACTTTTGTGTATTTTATTCAGATTTTGTAGGTAGATTAACACAAAACAACACATGACTGTAAAATGCGAGGAAAACAAATGCTGGGTTGTGAAATGATTTATATTAAAAAAAAATCTGAAATTATTCCCTGCTTGGCCTTTGCAGAAGTTTCCTATTTAATAAATAGCTCATCTGTGTGAAACAGAAGTCCAGTTGAAATCCAGCCATTTAGTAAACAAACGGCATCGTGAAGAGCAATAATACACATCAGAAGGTCAGGGAGTTTAAAGCAGGTTCAGGTTATAATCAATATCTGAAGATCCCACTGAGCTCTGGTCAATCCATTAACCACAAATGGAAAGAGTACATCCTAAAATGACTGCCTGGGCACTTAGGAGGGAGGGTCAGTCGTGAGTTTGGAAACCCTATTCTTCACCAATTATGGGGAAGCTGCTCAGAGTAGATGGAGAGAACTAAATAACAGATGTCCATGGAATAAAATCTCCAGAAAGGCGCTAAAAGTTTTAGGCTTGTGGGAAGGATCACCCCAAACAGACGGAGAGAGCTACATTGGAACGGCTCGGATCAAAGTATACATCATATAAAAATATAATTGTGTTTCACACATCCACCACTAAATGGTGAGTCGGTACCTAATAAAACCAATAAATGACTGAGGCGGAGCGAAGGAGGCTAATTAGTTTGAGCTATTTTTCAAATGTCTGGAAAAAATTGTAAGAAATATAACCATAACTCTGTAAGAGCAGCAAAAAGTGAATCTACAAAAGTATTGACTCAGAGGAAGCTAAACCCACCACACTTTTCAGATTTTTATAAAAAAAAAAACAATCCATTCTTTTCACAATTATTTTTGTTGCTCAGTTATAAAATTTTAATAAAATACAGTAAGGCATGCGGTTGTAACGTGACAAAATGTGGAAAAGGTTTTTGGGAGAAATGAAAAGTTTTGCACTGCAGCTTGGATACGTGAGAGCCCGGCCTCCGTTTTCTGGGCTGAATAACTAAAATGTGACACCGTGTCAAGTATGTAGGGTCTCGTGGGTCCCAGCACAAACTGTCAACTTTGTTATAATTATACCGCTGGTGAAGGCTGAGACCGTGAAGGCCCGACGGAGCTCTCAGAGGGTGCTCTAGGCCACGTTTGGCAGACACATGAGAACGAGAGGGGGAGAAAAGATCGCTGTTCAGCTCTAGGTGTAAAGAGCAGCACGGACTCAGCTGCTCAGGTTCAAAAGCAGAAAAATTCAGGTCTGCTGTCCAAAAATAAGTTCTCTCTGTCCCTGAAGGTGTTCACAACTCAAGAAAACAGACACAAAATTCTCCCTCTCTGATCATGAGCGAAAGTTTTCAGTATTTCTCGCCGGTTGCAGCTGGCGCTCTGTGTGGACGGCTCGTCCAGCGCCATGTAGCGCGTGCCTGTTGGCAGCTCCCACATGCTCTCCTCCCTGATTGAATCAGCCTTATTACGTGTACAGTGAGTGTTTGTTTGCAGCCACGATTGCTCACGCTGAACTGAGCCTCGTTGTATCCTCAGAGATCCTGTCATGTGTGGAGAATTTCATTTGCTTTTCATTTCTCCCACTCTTCCTGCCAGTACATCTGCAAAGCCGGCAAGTCGCTCTGTGTGTTGGGATCTTTGAATCTAGTCAGAGAAGAAATGTCCTGGAGTTCAACGAGTTAAAGAATTCAAAAATATGTACAGGAGTCCTTTTTTGGAAATTGCTGCAAAAACATCCAAAGTTACTTTCTTTTTTTTTCCAATTTAAAACAAAGTTTCTCTTTCCATCAGGGTCCTAGCTCCTAAATGTGCAGCCTGTAACCAGCCAATTCTGCCCTCAGAGGTGAGCAGTTTTTCCACACCTTTTTCTTTTTTTTAATGATGTTTAAATTGCACAGTTGTAGCCAAAGGTTTTGAGAAACACAGAAATGTAGTTTTCCTTAAACTCTACATCAGAGTTAAAGGAAAACCATGGTGTTTGTGTTATTTGGATTTCTTTGACACGACAATGCTTTAAGATCATTCTCTCCTTTGAGTTCCTGATGATTTAATGAATGTTTAATTTGAGTGCAGTTTTACTTAGCAGTAATATCCTGTCCTCAGAAGCCATTTTGATGTGAAGTAATAGTGACATCACGTTTTGTTGGAGGTAAACATGGTTTATACGCCTGATTTAAAGCAGAACGACCGTAATGTCTGTGTACCCATCCTCGTTCACATTTACCTCTGAGTAAAAATGCTTATTATTAAAAAGCCTTTTGTCCTTAAGTTAACTTTCATTAATCTGGGGATTATTTGCGTTTCATCTGATCACTCTTCATAGTAATCTCGACTGAGTTGAAATTACTATAAAAGATCTGAAGCACGTTGTAATACTGTATCGATTTGCCTTAAAGTATATCACAGTTGTATCTTCAGAGGATGGACATATTTAATTGACCAGTTAAGCACAATATCTGTTATATATCATGAAAATATAGGCTTTATATTTCAGAAGCTGTACACGTGAAAGGTACAGCAGAACAAAATGCAGCAACATTTGCTCTTAAGAAAAAATCCAGTTCTGGTGTCCTCTTATCAAAGTGCAGAGTCGAACTAGACCTTTCAGCCGCCTCTGCTGAGCTCGGCTCTGATTTCCTTTCAGGGCTCTGATGAAACCATCCGAGTCGTATCCATGGACAAAGACTACCATGTAGAATGCTACCACTGTGAGGTGAGTCACAAACTGGAAATGAAGCCTTGCACTTGACAGTGTGCGCTTGGTGACTTTGAGCTTTGGAGTCTGAGCAGCTCATTAAAGAAAGTTTAATGAGTAGATCCCTAATCTTAATTACACTCTTCATAATTATGCAGTGCTGAGTCAAGCAGGTATGTAGAAGATTTTTCCCCCCTTCTCTAGACTGACTGACAGCAGCTTTGCTCTGATTTTATCAGAGTACAATCTGGGTAATGTAGCTGTGGTCTTTCTTAAATAGCTGGAGATGGGATTTGTCAGCAGGCTGCACAGTGGCGCAGTTGGTAGAGCTGTTGCCTTGCAGCAAGAAGGTTCTGGGTT